GTATAGAAATAGCCTACAGTATTTTAGTTCAGACTCATTTTAATTCGTATAACAACTCTATCTTGCATAGCTATCTATTCACATTTGCAGTGCAAATTTAGCATGGAAGAGCTAAGCTAGCTATCTAGCTTGTTCGCATGCATAATCTTTGATATGGCTTACTGCTATTTAGCCAGCAGATCTGACCCCCTTGCTAACAGCTGCACTAGGGTCGGACAGCATTCCTGTGTAGATTAAGACACCTCGGAGCCGGCGCGAGATATGTCTCGGAAAACGTACCTCAATCCAGGGATGAGAAATGCATTGTACTCCGAATTGTCCCATTATCCCAACTGTTACACCAAGAAGATTGAATGACAGCACATTCGTTCAATCTTCTCAGTCGTTCAATCTTCTCAGTGCAACAGTTGGGATAATGGGACAATTCGGAGTACAATGCATTTCTCATCCCTGGATTGAGGTACGTTTTCCGAGATATATCTTGCACTGGCTCCGAGGTGTCTTAATCTACACAGGAATGCTGTCCGACCCTAGTGCAGCTTCACCAAAAAATGAAATTGTTAAAACATTTCTAACCTGTCTATCAATGGGTAACAGGGTTGGCATGTTATGCTCGACCCACTCAGTTTTCCACCAGAAAACACCAGAAAATTGCCAAATAGAGTAGAAACAGCTCACCTGCTTTTACACTATGATTTTACTATTTTTATGTTCAATGTTTCTTTTGAATAAAAAATAAATAAAAATAGTTTCACCATATTAAAACGAGAGTTCAGTTCACATAACAGGGTTGACCTTACAATGAGGGACAGACATTTCATGTGATTAGATTAATCACTAATCACATGAAATAAGTAATAATCTTCAAAAAATGACTTTGTCAAAGCAACAAAATAACTACGGCTTTACAATGATGGTGAAATGTTGGGATTAAGTGGGTTAAAATCTTCCTCGAAGTCAGAGAGGGAGAGGGAGTACAGAGGGACATGTCAAAATGCTGAATTTTGGCACTTTAGCAAGTCTTTATTTATATAAAAAATCTGATGTATTGAATTTTCTATGTGGTCTATATTAAAGTGCACTTCATTAAATATAACATGCTTTCAAAGGGATACTTCGGGATTTTGGCAATGATTTTGGCGATGATACTCATGGATACCATTTGTATGTCTCTGCATCCAGTATGAAGGAAGTTAGAGGTAGCTTTGCGAGCCAATGCTAACTAGCGTTAGCACAATGACTGGAAGTCTATTGTATCTACTAGCATGCTAGCAAACTGCACACAGAGATATAAAAATGGTATCCATGAGTTCATCTGACTCTGGTGAAGTAGATAAAGGCAGACCCGGCCCCAGGATAAAGTGACTGAGGGGGCAATTGAAATCGGTGAAGGGGCACAATTTTGGGGGGTTCTTGCATTGGAATAATATTGAATTCTGCTTATATCACACTATACCACAATAAACATAAAGTTCAAATACCGAGACTCCGAAACCATTGAGTGCTTTTGAAGTGACAGGTTGGCGCGCAATCTGTAGCCTATCCCTACACACAAGACTGTTGATAACCTAGGCCTTTCTAAGTAATTTTGCCATTCCATACCCTAGATCTTTGCTGAAATGACTCCACTGGCTATACCGTCAAGATTTTAATAAGAACCAACCAGCTAGATTGTTTCTTACCTTTTCAGAAGAGTTGATGCACTGTGGAACTTCCTGAGTAATTGATCATTCCATTCTCCCCAAAATCTTCTTGTAAGATCCCCCTCAAATGCTAGTTGGATTAGTTGAGCTTTCCTCAGGTGTAGCATGCTTCTTCTGTGCTGACTGAACACGTTTGTCAAGGAGGAAAATTAGTTATTGCATGTAGCTGTGGACGCCCCACTCATAAGCCCTATGATTTCATTTGGAATATTGTGTGACGTATATGTGGCATTGTGGGGTATGGTGCTAAACACCTTGGCTAGTTCCTTGTCTTTTCAAATGTTCTTTGCTTGATGCGTGCCTAGCGACTCCTTTGGTACTATCAATAGCATGCTTCCAGTTAGAATACCCACCTTGGGTGAAGGCCTTGTCTGCGTTAGCATTGGACCCAATACAGAACTTTGGACATGGGAAACAAAATGCTGCATCTGCAGTAACAGAGTATTCCAGACACTCTCTTCCTATGACCAGTTGTTATTAAATGAACATTTTTGGACAGAATACCTGGGGCTAGGGTAGGATTCTAAGATAACCTGGGCTGGCTTCTCTGTTCCGATATCGTCAGGAACAGTCAGACGTGGAGGGGGCTGTATATATAAGGGATATTTCATGCTGAAACCCTCATATTAAACACCAACGGTATTCACTTAGTTGACGGTTTCTATTTAGGATAATGTTTTGTCATTCTATATTTTATTTTTAAATCGTATTTTATTATTTAATATATGTTACATGTGATAAGGCCACACGGTGGGCCAGACATGATTACAGACACCTGTGATAACCTGAAGTACCCAAAAAGGCCACTAGATGTCTTGTGATAGATACATACAATCCTTGAAAGATACCAACATTCTGGTAGTTTACTTGTAAACTTCAAAAGTTTGCAACCCTAGCCACAATAATCACAATGTTTCAACTAGTTGTTCAGTACAGTACCATTTCCGTTGAATTCAATGTTGCACACCGTTCTGTCGTACTGAAAGCAACCCAGGTGAGAGGAGAGAGCATACGGTTCTCACAGGAAAATGCTTATGTAGCGCACCATCTTCACGTTGCAGCCTACGGTAGGGCTATTTATTATGCAAGTTGCACTTTAATTGTCTTCAATATCTGCAATAAATAGTAACATCACCCAACTAAAGACCTACGTTGGGAAAGCCAATTAGGCTTATATATGTGGACGCCTCATGAACCTGTGCCATTGGCGTACCATAGGGAATCGCCATTAGGCCTGCATTCAATTTAAGCCAGCATTATTTGCTAGGTTCATGTGATCAAGTATGCACTGTAGGCTTCTCTCCACAAAAAAAATACAAATACAATCTAACTAAACTTGGCCACAGAGTAGAAACACCATCTGCCCATAAAAGGTAACTTTTTCCAGCAAGATAATTGAAACAGGCCCTCATCCACTGGCACCTACGATGAAAAGAGTCAGGAAAAAATACCATCCCGTTTTTGAATAGTAATCTTAATGGTTTGCAATAAATTCCCTCTTTCGATTTGTAAGATTAACTAGAGTGAGTGAGTCAGTTTTTAACAAAAGTGTTTCACTCCTGGTGGTCTATTTCTTTTAATACCTCTGCCTTTGAAGATATCACATTCTGAGTGAGTCAGATCTACATAACAAAAAAGTAATAATTCAATAGAAAAGAACTCAAGCAAAAACCTAAATTATAAAAGTTTATTTTAATTCCATTGTTACAAAATTAAACCGGTATATAAAGTAGTGTTATTCAGTTCGACATTTCTTCAGAAGTTAAAGGTGGAATGTTTTTCATACACTGCAGCATTGTAAATTCTCCCCACTACACATATACAGAGTATAAATAGTTCAACTGCAGCTCAGTGGTATAATACAGTGGCTTGCGAAAGTATTCACCCCTCTTGGCATTTGTCCTATTTTCTTGCCTTACAACCTGGAATTAAAATGGATTTTGGGGGGGTTTGTATCATTTGATTTACACAACATGCCTACCACTTAGAAACAAACAAGAAATTGTGAAACAAACAAGAAATAAGACAAAAAAACAGAACTTGAGCATGCATAACTATTCACCCCCCCCAAAGTCAATACTTTGTAGAGACACCTTTTGCAGCAATTACAGCTGCAAGTCTCTTGGGGTATGTTTCTATAAGCTTGGCACATCTAGCCACTGCCATTTTTGCCCATTCTTCAAGGCAAAACTGCTCCAGCTCCTTCAAGTTGGATGGGTTCCACTGGTGTACAGCAATCTTTAAGTCATACCACAGATTCTCAATTGGATTGAGGTCTGGGCTTTGACTAGGCCATTCCAAGACATTTAAATGTTTCCCCTTAAACCACTTGAGTGTTGCTTTAGCAGTATGCTTATGGTCATTGTCCTGCTGGAAGGTGAACCTCCGTACCAGTCTCAAATCTCTGGAAGACTGAAACAGGTTTCCCTCAAGAATTTCCCTGTATTTAGCGCCATCCATCATTCCTTCAATTCTGACTAGTTTCCCAGTCCCTGCCGATTTAAAAACATCCCCACAGCATGATGCTGCCACCACCATGCTTCACTGTGGGGATGGTGTTCTCGGGTGATGAGAGGTGTTGGGTTTGCGCCAGACATAGTTTTCCTTGATGTCCAAAAAGCTCAATTTTAGTCTCATCTGACCAGAGTACCTTCTTTCATATGTTTGGGGAGTCTCCCACATGCCTTTTGGCGAACACCAAATGTGTTTGCTTATTTTCTTCTGGCCACTCTGTTCTGTGGAGTGTATGGCTTAAAGTGGTCCTATGGACAGATACTCCAATCTCCGCTGTGGAGCTTTGCAGCTCCTTCAGGGTTATCTTTGGTCTCTTTGTTGCCTCTCTGATTAATGCCCTCCTTGTCTGGTCCGTGACTTTTGGTGGTCGGCCCTCTCTTGGCAGGTTTGTTGTGGTGCCATATTCTTTCCATTTTTTTATAATGGATTTAATGGTGCTCCATGGGATGTTCAAAGTTTCAGATATTTTTTTATAACCCAACCCTGATCTGTACTTCTCCATAACTTTGTCCCTGACCTGTTTGGAGAGCTCCTTGGTCTTCATGGTGCCGCTTGCTTGGTGGCGCCCCTTGCTTAGTGGTGTTGCAGACTCTGGGGCCTTTCAGAACAGGTGTACATATACTGAGATCATGTGACAGATCATGTGACACTTAGATTGCACACAGGTGGAATTTATTTAACTAATTATATGACTTCTGAAGGTAATTGGTTGCACCTGATCTTATTTAGGGGCTTCATAGCAAAGGGGGTGAATACATATGCACGCACCACTTTTCCGTAATTAATTTTTACAAATTTGTTTTAACAAGTTATTATTATTTTTTCACTTCACCAATTCGGACTATTTTGTGTATTTCCATTACATGAAATCCAAATTAAAATCCATTTAAATTACAGGTTGTAATGCAACAAAATAGGAAAAACGCCAAGGGGGATGAATACTTTTGCAAGGCACAGTACATGTATCCTCTTTGATTTTTCATATATTGTGTATAGCAACTCAATAAACAAGATTTGTATTTGTAAAACCGTAAGAAAATAACACTGGATAAAAAAGTGAGTCTTGGGTGTTGTCAGACATAGGGCATCCCCACATCACTGAATCATAGGTTCTCCCATTAGAGTTTCAAAGCACACAGACACCCTTTTCCTCATTGTGTTGTATGCCTTATTCACTGTCACAGTCATCTTACTTGCCTCTGAGAACTCAACATTCAGCAGTCAGAACTATGCCAAGTCATTTCATGGTTCTAAAAAGGCAAGCTTATGCAACACACAATTCAATAATAAGTTCCACATCATTAAAGTGACATCAAAAATACGGATCCAAATTTCAACAATATAAGGAGTGTCAGAGTGAAATAAACTAATGAAATATAAGAGTGCTTATATACTGTACAAATGGTACAATAGGCCTACAGAAAACGATTACATCAGACACTAATCCGCATTGAAGGCCAAGATCAAACATTGCCAGAGATAGCCCTCTTCATTGGATCCTTGTATCACTGGATTTGTTCCATAATGTCTTGTGTCTAAGGCCAACATGAGCAACAGTGAGAAGCTACAGTGAAATGTATATACATCTGGGGTGAATACTTGTCAGCAAGGTTTCAACTGGACCCTATAAACTGCTCATTCATTATCAGATGTGTGTATATGTGTCTTTGTCTGTGTTGTTATGTTGTGTGTTTGTGCTTGCATGTGTATCTTGTACACATTTGTGCGGATATTCTTACCACGTGTGTGTGATCCAACATTTACGGTGACGCAAGAGGTCATGACCCCCTTTTTCTGCTCTGACCAATTGTCTGTGGCCATGCTGTGAGTTAAGTGAGCCTGTTTGTGACCAGCATAACGTGATGATGCCTATGGGAAGGGACAATGCAATGCTCTCAGATGTCAGTGGTCTCCAGGATCCTGGGCGTGTCCATCTCCCTAGTGGTGCAGCGCTTGCCGTTGCTCTGTCCATTGGCTCGGTAGTGCACACTACCACCTGGCTTAATGATGGTGTCCTCCTCAGAAGCGGTGAGCTCCAGGCTGACTGTAGCACGACTCATCTCAGTCACAGAGGAGTTGGTGTTGTAGTGGGAGTAGGAATCTGTCCATTTCCACACCAGCTTGGTCTGGGCCCATTTCCTCCTAAGACATGCCTGCACCTGTGGAACCAAAGACAGAGTGGTTTAAGAGCAACATAAATGCGAGCTTGAACCTTATCAGTAAATACTGGCAAACAAATATATAGAGAATTCTTGAATGACATAATGATTCTATTCCTAAATGAAAAGATAGACTCAGGGTAATCATCAGCCTTTTAAGAAATGCTGGCACTTACCTCTGCATTACAAAAGCAGAATATAATTGCGACCAGGAGTCCCTATAAAGGAATAATTATTCAGTGAACATTCCTCCAGATTAAACATTCTGTAATGGCCTTATATCTCTTGTGGATATTGGGTGTTGAAAGGTTATATCACATTTGCTTTTAATAAAAAAACACCCATACCTGGAAATGTGCAAAGATGTTCATGATGAACTCGTAGATGGCCCTGGCCTTTCGTCCCTCTGGCCTCCAGGGAACCAGGATGAACTGGGCTCCCAGCAGAGGTATCAGGATTAGAGTGGCTCGCACAGCCTTCATATAGGCATTGGACTCTGCACTGTGGGTCACCTGCAGCTTGGTGATCAGCACACGCACTATGTTGAGTAGGAAGAACAGGTTCACCTGGAGACGGCCAGAGAGAGGAGCAGAGGAGGAGGGATAGAATTTGAGCACACTGTACACTTTGGTTTCTGTTTTTGTTACATATTTTTTATTGTTTTTGTAGTGCAGACTAACCAGCAGGGCAGCATGAACAGGGCCATGGATGATGTAGAGCAGGTGTGTGTCTGAACTGATCCAGCATCTGGGAGACAAGGAGAGACAAGTCTAAACTCAACTGAGACAGTAAAATAAGATTCTGAGCTTTACTGGGTATTTACAGTATTGTAACTGACAGGATGCAGCATACTAATGCAGTGTACTAATGCAGCATACAGTGCACTGTCAACCTCTGCCACTATTATGCACAGTAGCATATTATTCAGAGGGAGTTGTGACACATTACCTGTCATCATAGAAGAGCCCGCGGGCCACAGCATGTGTGATGGCAGGAATGATGGGGAAGCCTGGGAGAGAGAGAGGAGTCCATGGCTGCAGTCCAAACGCAAAGTAGACAGCCCTCGACCCTAAACCCTCAGCCCTTGAATGACGTTTTACATCGTCACATCCGAGTGTACCTTAAATGTCCCTTGCCCAAGCGAGGAAGAGACATGCAATGTCCTTGGTGGAAATTTTGAAGTTGAGCTTAAAAACATCCAACCTAAAGCTATGAATGTACCTAGCATGCTAACGTAGCTAGCTAGCACTCCTGTCAGGTAGCTAGCTACAGTTACCCATAGATGGCTAGCTAGATTTATAGTTTGGTCATTTATTCCAATACATTTCAAAATTCCGAACAATATGTTTATGAAGCTAACTATGTTTTATAGGCTTCTCACTATGAGACTAAGCCAATTTGAGCATCATTCCCATTTGCCAACGCTAAAATCAATTTCATTTACACTACCGGTCAGAAGTTTCCAAGGGTTTTTCTTTATTTTTACTATTTTCTATGTTGTAGAATAATAGTGAAGACATCAAAACTATGAAATAACACATATGCAATCATGTAGTAACCAAAAGAGTGTTAAAAAATCAAAATATGTTTTATATTTGAGATTCTTCAAATAGCCACCCTTTGCCTTGATGACAGCTTTGCACACTTTTGGCATTTTTATTTTTTTTTTTCACCTTTATTTAACCAGGTAAGCCAGTTGAGAACAAGTTCTCATTTACAACTGCGACCTTGCCAAGATAAAGCAAAGCAGTGCGATAAAAACAACAACACAGAGTTACATATGGGGTATAAAAAAAAATACATAAAGTCAAAAATACAACAGAAAATATATATACAGTGTGTGCAAATGTAGCAAGTTATGGAGGTAAGGCAATAAATAGGCTATAGTGCAAAATAATTACAATTAGTATTAACACTGGAATGCTAGATGTGCAAGAGATTATGTGCAAATAGAGATACTGGGGTGCAAAAGAGCAAAATAAATAACAATATAGGGATGAGGTAGTTGGGTGGGCTAATTTCAGATGGGCTGTGTACAGGTGCAGTGATCGGTAAGGTGCTCTGACAACTGATGCTTAAAGTTAGTGAGGGAGATAAGAGTCTCCAGCTTCAGAGATTTTTGCAATTCGTTCCAGTCATTGGCAGCAGAGAACTGGAAGGAATGGCGGCCAAAGGAGGTGTTGGCTTTGGGAATGACCAGTGAGATATACCTGCTGGAGCGCAGACTACGGGTGGGTGCTGCTATGGTGACCAATGAGCTAAGATAAGGCGGGGATTTGCCTAGCAGTGATTTATAGATGGCCTGGAGCCAGTGGGTTTGACGACGAACATGTAGTGAGGACCAGCCAACAAGAGCGTACAGGTCACAGTGGTGGGTAGTGTATGGGGCTTTGGAGACAAAACGGATGGCACTGTGATAGACTACATCCAATTTGCTGAGTAGAGTGTTGGAGGCTATTTTGTAAATGACATCGGCGAAGTCAAGGATCGGTAGGATAGTCAGTTTTACGAGGGCATGTTTGGCAGCATGAGTGAAGGAGGCTTTGTTGCGAAATAGGAAGCCGATTCTAGATTTAACTTTGGATTGGAGATTCTTAATGTGAGTCTGGAAGGAGAGTTTACAGTCTAACCAGACACCTAGGTATTTGTAGTTGTCCACATACTCTAGGTCAGACCCGTCGAGAGTGGTGATTCTAGTCGGGTGGGCGGGTGCCAGCAGCGTTCGATTGAAAAGCATGCATTTAGTTTTACTAGTGTTTAAGAGCAGTTGGAGGCTACTGAAGGAGTGTTGTATGGCATTGAAGCTCATTTGGAGGTTTGTTAACACAGTGTCCAATGAAGGGCCAGATGCATTCTCTCAACCAACTTCATGAGGTAGTCCCCTGGAATGCATTTCAATTAACAGGTGTTCCTTCTTAAAAGTTTGCGTTTGAGCCAATCAGTTGTGTTGTGACAAGATAGGGAGGTATACAGAAGATATCCCTATTTGGTAAAAGACCAAGTCCAAATTATGGCAAGAACAGCTCAAATAAGCAAAGAGAAACGACAGTCTATAATTACTTTAACACATGATGGTCAGTCAACACGGAACATTTCAAGAACTTTGAAAGTTTCTTCAAGTGCAGTCGAAAAAACATCAAGTGCTATGATGAAACTGGCTCTCATAAGGACTGCCACAGGAATGGAAGACCCAGAGTTACCTCTGCTGCAGAGAATAAGTTCATTAGAGTTACCAGCCTCAGAAATTACAGCCCAAATAAATGCTTCACAGAGTTCAAGTAACAGACACATCTCAACATCAACTGTTCAGAGGAGACTGTGTGAATCAGGCGTTCATGGTCGAATTGCTGAAAAGATACCACTACTAAAGGACACCAATAAGAAGAAGAGACTTGCTTGGGCCAAGAAACACGAGCAATGGACATTAGACCGGTGGAAATGTGTCCTTTGGTCTGGAGTCCAAATTGGAGATTTTTGGTTCCAACCGCCGTGTCTTTGTGAGAGGCGTGGTGTGGGTGAACGGATGATCTCCGCATGTGTATTTCCCACCGTAAAGCATGGAGGAGGAGGTGTTATGGTGTTGGGGTGCTTTGCTGGTGACACTGTCTGTGATTTATTTAGAATTCAAGGCACACTTAACCAGCATGGCTACCACAGCATTCTGCAGCGATACGCCATCCCATCTGGTTTGGGCTTAGTGGGACTATAATTTATTTTTCAACAGGACAATGACCCAACACACCTCCAGGCTGTGTAAGGGCTATTTTACCAAGAAGGAGAGTGATGTAGTGCTGCATCAGATGACCTGGCCTCCATAATCCCTCGACCTCAACCAAATTGAGATGGTTTGGGATGAGTCGGACCGCAGAGTGAAGGAAAAGCAGCCAACAAGTGCTCAGCATATGTGGGAACTCCTTCAAGACTGTTGGAAAAGCATTCCAGGTGAAGCTGGTTGAGAGAATGCCAAGAGTGTGCAAAGCTGTCATCAAGGCAAATATTTTGATTTGTTTAACAATTTCCCCCAAGGAAAAGTGGCTAGCACGAGGGCTGAGGGGGTAAAATGAACGTGTTTGGACTGCAGCCCAAGACTGTCATGAGCTTCCATAAGGCCTTCATAGATTACATGATACATAATGTAGAGATATGAAAGCATAGAAGACATATTCAACATTATGTGATAGGGGAAAAGGATGCTGAAACAACAATGAATGTCAGACAGCGGAGCAGAACATAGAGCAGTCAGTCACTCACCCCAACCCAGGACATAATACCAGCCCAGCTGCTGCTCTCCCACAAACACAGCCACGATGATGAGAGTGTGCAGGTAGATCCCCTCACACAGCATCCAGAAGTAGTTGGAGCCAAACATATACTGGTTCAGGACTGTCAGGATCTTGCATCCAATCTGAGAACAACACAGGGACAACCCTCAGGACAGGGGTTGTTTTTTTGTGCAGAACAAATGCAAACTTTCTCAAGTTGTCACTGCCACTCATTGACACACATTGTGGAGTGTAGCACTTCAAAATCTTCACCAACTTCATGAGTTCAACCAGTAGCCATTCATGTTTAGGGTAATCCCCTTGATGGCAGAGGCGTACATTACTTACAGGGTTGCTGGCCCCCAGCTGCTGGTTGTTGGCTACAGCAGAGAGCCAGATAACGGTGCAGATAGAGTTGAAGATAAAGGACAGGAACATGTTCTTATGGAGGGAGATCCTCTGGCAGCTCAGACTCCTAATGGGAGGATTAGAACAGAGGGACACAACTCTAAGGTCATAGGATAACTTTATTTATTTTGACTTGCTATGTCCTTTTGACAATTTTTCACTTTTCCACTTCATGGTGTAGCAATAGTAGTCAAATATTGTGAATTCAAATTGGCAATGTAGGAAGAACCAAATACCTCTGTTTAGAATAGAGGGCTCGGTGTGTAGGAAGAGCATCACCAACAGAATCACTTTGATTAGAGGATGTGAAGTGAAAAGGTACACTGTGACATTCAGAGCACAACGGTAGGCTATCTGCCTCAGTTGGTCCATAGAGGAAACAATGCATGACTCACTTGAAGTAGGAAAAGATGCAGAGTGAGATGATGAGGGATACCACAGACAATCCATGTCCCACAATGGCCAAGTAGTACAAGCTGAACGCAAACTGGGCAAGAAGAGAAGGGAAAGGAAAGAGGAAGCATTAATTCACTTCTTTAACTAAGTGGACACAATATAGAGACGTTGACAACAACAATCACTAAATTGACTCTAATAGAAATGTGTTAGCCACTGTCAGAATTGCTAAACTACTTGGCTTAGAAGTATACCATCAGTTTGTCCTTGGTGTACATCTGACACTGGGTGTAGTTGGACCAAATACGGTTGCTCTCAGGGTGACGAAACCACTGTCCATCCAAGTTGCACACTTTGGTCGCTTTCTCTGTTTGAATGGACACAGGGAGAGGATGGATGTCACATAAAACATTTCAGGTAGGGCATCATCAGTATATAGATCAAGTCAGTTGAATTGTGATTATGAATGAGATGTGTGGCTCACTGGCTGGCTCACCTGAGGGGTCAAAGTCCTGGAAGTACTCAGGGCAGAGCTGCGTGGCCGTGCCAGGGGCAGAGTCACTCCAACACAGCCAGCCATCCCACGTGTGGTTACAGAATGTGCCTGCAGGGGGCAAAGAGGGAGGAGCAGCTGTTTGCAGTGTATTATAGTAATGCAACCGTTTAATGTTTCAAAATGTTTAGGTTCATTGCCGTAGTTAACTCTGAACTGTGTATTATATCATGGACATATACAGGTAGAGTGACTTATGTTACTTATATTAGTGATCAAAGAACAGTTCTAAAAACCTAGGTATAAATCTTTCACACTCATTTTAAAATACTGTGTTGGGTCGTTTTCTAAGACAAACTGAAAACAACAGTCTCTTATTTCCTTTGAATGTGACGCAAAAGCCAATAGAGAAATGAAAAACAGATGGGAAAAACAAACACCTAGAATGTCCCTTCAAAATGAATGATATAAAACAGCTGAGAGAAACAGCTACATATGCAAACACATATCACTTTAAATACATTCCTAGTAAACAATACAAGGAAGTCTGTGTCCAGGTTGTTGCATGTAGGGAAATACAGCGCAAAATAGCATTTCAAAGGCTGTTATTTACTGAGCTCCAGTAACGGGGGCAGCTTGGAGACAAAGACCACTTCCCTCCTTTCAGACCTGAGGTTAGTCACTTCCCTTCTCGCTATTTCTCTCCTGACCTGCACTACTCCTCCGCTCTGCTATTATGCGTGCGTGAGTGTGTATGTGGGTGCATGTCAGTGGTGGTCGGTGCCATTTATTTTTTATTATTAACCTGTATTTAACCAGGAGAACCCATTGAGACCAGGGTCTCATTTCCAATGGTGCCCTGAGAACAACAGTTAAGCAATGTGAACAACAATTCAAGCATGATCACTACAAAATTACAGTTAAAACATTTCAAATAGACTACATTCCGTTCAAAAGGGCAGTAGAAACAAATATATACAGTCAATCAAAAAACAAGTGCAGTTTTCATTGGTCACATTTTTTATCAGAGCCCTAAATTCACCTTTTGTGACCAAAGAATCAAGTTTTAGAGTGCCCTGTAGGTCATTCCAGGACGGAGGGGCATAGTAACTGAAAGCTGTCTTCCCTAACTCAGGAGACCCATGAAACCTTTAGTACTAACCGGTCTTGAGAGCGAGTCTTATAGTGCTTTCTATACAAATAATAGCCAATGTTGGGCTCTTCTTTTAGTCAGAGACTCCTAGCCAACAGAACTATATAAGAGATAAAGATGCGTACGGAATTCCCACCAGTGATAAAATGCAAGGCTGAGTGGTAGACTGAATCTAGAGGTTTTAATACAGAGGCTGCCGGGTGCATGTAGATTGTGTTGCCATAGTCAATTACTGGGAGGAGTGTCTTCCGTTACTCGCAACTTTTTAGTCAGCTTATCAATGTGTGTTTTTATAGGACAGCTTATCGTCAATCCAAATAACTAGATAATTATAATGGGGGACTAGCTCAATTTGGGCTCCTCTCAAGGTACAGATATGCAGGTCTTTAGGATAAATGTATCAACAATTAGCACTAATTTAAGATTGGTGAGCAATTCTTGAATTGAATCAAAGCCACGCTGAAGGTTGTGAATGGCCTGCTGCACTGAGGGGACACAGGAATAAATAACTGTGTCATCCACATAGATATGTAAGCCCCAGTTATTATTATTCAGGGACAAACCAAAATTATTAATGTAAATAGAGAACAGTAAAGGGCCTAGTATTGAGCCTTGTGGCACTCCTTTGGTTATGTTCAGAACATTTGACTGAACTCCATCAGCAGATATACACGGACTTCTGTCATGCAGGTCATTTTTGAACCAGACGCAGGCCGCTTGGTCTAGACCAACTTCAGATAGCCTCCGTAGCAGGAGTGCATGATCAACTATATCGGATGCTTTCGACAGATCAATAAAAAGGGCAGCGCAGTGCTCTTTCCTGTCTAGTGTGTTAACTACGTAATTTACGACTAGAAAAGCATTCGAGATGGTGCTGTGTCCTAGCCTAAAGCCTGACTGGTGAGCATTCAGAATACATTTTCTATCAAAAAAGGACAGCATCTGAGAATATACCAAGTGTTCAAATATTTTGAGATTGGGCAATAATTATTAAGATCGCAAGGATCACCACCTTTGTGGAGCGGGAGAACAAGGACCGCCTTCCACACCTTAGGAATAATACCCAAGAGAATGGATAGATAAAAAATATGTGTCAAGGTGCAGCAAGCCGTGGAAGGCATGGGTAAAGCATGTCTGCCCCAGTGGATTTTTTTACATAAATAAGAGAGCGTCCAGAACTTCCCTAGTAGTGAGTTACCGAAGAGAGAACAGTGGGTCACCATTTACATTACATTAGCAGGCAAGTTTGTGATTGAACAGTGATGAGCTTTCAAATAAATGGCCTGCTGCAATAAAATGTTGGTTAAACACATCAGTTATTTCAGTTTTGTCTGTAATAGTATTGGAGTTAAATAGAACCTCATTGGGCAGAGAAGTGTGGCTTCTTTTTTGCGATTTAATAGCCTTCCAAAACTTAGCTGGATCTCCACGAGGGCCAGAAATTAAATTAATGAAATGGTTTGATTTATTCCTTTTTATGGAAGCAGTACATTTGTTTCTAAGTTGTTTGGAGGTGAGCCAGTCTGCAGAGCATCAGTGTGTCTGGCTTTAGACTAGGGAGATTTTTTTTTTTTATGAGCATGGCCTTATTTCTATTACAGCATATTGGATGACTGTCATTCATATTCCTTTCACCCAGCTCAATGTAACATCGATAGGTTTAGGCTACTACATGATACTCGAATTTGCCCTCTACCCATCATGAGGTTACTACAACCTAGACTACAAATTAAAGTTTATAACATAGGTGCACAGGTTATGAGACAAGTTGGAGTAATCTAGGTGACAGACAGTGACACATTAAATACCGCCTTGTACACTCTTGCCTGCATCTAGCTGATCTGCGGTGTAATCATTAGTCCAAACAGTTGCAAAATTAAAACAAGTTCAACTAGGTCCATCCCCGTTCTCGTTCCGTTTGCTTCCGTTAAACGTTGTGCAACAGAATCGGCGGAATGAATACACCCCTTTTTTATAGCACTTTCATAGCAGCCACATAAAGCATCATCACTTCGATAGTATAATTCCTTCTCACATCTACGTGCTGGACTCTTCTCACCTTTTCCCTTTGATTGTGGATTTCAGTGCACAACACAACAAATTGTAATCAGTAACATAACTTTTGGATTACCAAAACTCAGTAATATAATGTGATTACTGTCCCCTTAAGAGGCATTAAAAGAAAATAAAAAGGATCCATCAAACACACTTGGTGTGTCATCATAGTGGTCTCTGACTTGTGGTCAGACTCGCTCAGGTGGAACAAACTTAAACTTGCGCCTTTCTTCAATGCTGAATTGAACAAACATCCTTTCTGAATTTAAAAGTAATCCAAGAAGTAATCATCTAGTTTTTTTTAAGTATCTGTAATCTGATTACAATATTTGTGTGTGTAATGTAACTGACTACAGTTCGTTTTTTGTAATAACAGATTACATGCAATCAGTTACTCCCCAACTCCACAATCCAATCCATGTGTACAATCACACAGAACAGTGTACAGCAAGCAGTTTAGCAGTTACACTGGCGGGGCCCAGTGGCAATACATTTATAAAAAGGAAAGCTTACCTTGCGTTGCAGTGTTGGATAGCCTTAGCCAGCAAGCTAACATTAATAGCATTCCTCTCTGTTTAAGTCAGGTTGTTGAGTAGGCTAAATTAGCTGCATTAGCTAGCTAAGTAAGTGAAAGGTAAACTAAGAAGAACAAAAAAATACAACGAAATATAGCTAGCTCTCTCTCTCTCCTGCTTCTCCTTAATTTTTGAATAAAGGAATTGTTCAACTATTGTCTTTCTCTCTCTTTGAGTCAACTACTCACCACATGTTATGCCCTGCAGTGCTGGCTAGTTGTAGTTTATGCTTTCAGTACTAGATTAATTATCTGATAATTTCATTGGATGGACAACATGTCAATTCATGCTGCAAGAGCTCTGATAGGTTGGAGGATGTCCTCCGGAAGTCGTCATAATTACTGTTTAAGTCTATGGAAGGGGCGTGAACCATGAGCCTACCAGGTTTTGTATTGAAGTCAATTAACCCAGAGGAGGATGGAAAATAGCTGTCCTATGGGTATACCATGGTGCTACCCTAGAGAGTGCTGTTGAGGCTACCGTAGACCTTCATTGCAAAACAGTGTGTTTTAATCAGCTATTTGGTGACCTATGAAAATATTTAGTATTGTTTTTATCTAAAAAGGACAACTTTTTTAATGTTTCACTATTTTTATTTGTATGAAATTCACTGAGTTGGATGGTCCGTCCCTTCCTCCTCTGAGGAGCCTCCACTGTTGCATGTGTGTAGTGCCTCACCATCTTCATTGCGTGGTGAGTCATGGATAATCTTTAGGTAGCACTCAAACTGAGCTGAGAGGATCTGGCTGCGGGTCACTGTGGTTGACACAGGCATGATAGGCACCTCCTCTGATTCCAGCATGTCCCCCACATCTTCACAGTGGCACACCTGTTGGATATGTTTAACAGACCCTTTTCAGTTTCTAATATGATAAAAACACACATACACACACACATATTGTGTAGTCTCTCTCTCACCTCAACTCCCAGTAGTAGCATCGGAAGCCATAGTGCTGGGATCCTCCACATGGTTCTATATGGGTCAAAGAGAGGTGTTGCCAGTGAGCATCAGTGAACTATGGCGAGAGGAATCACAAGCATGGAAATAACATAGGGGAGCGAGGGGCTGTATTCCTAACTGTGGGATATACTTCTTGTGGTTTGGTTCACGGTGGGGATTATTAGCAGCAATAGCTCCCTTTTGAATGGACCACTCAACAGCAATTGGCCATACTAGGAGGAGACAACAAAAATACATGCTTGTTTCTGATTCTACTGTCTGTCTTTGCACTCGCTGAACATGCAGCGCAGTGTGTACAAGTGTCTCAGAACAGGATGTAAACTCTCAACAGGAGGTCACAGCACCGCAGTCGTTCCACTCAAGGTCAGGGAACATGCATATTTACAATGCCAGCAGGATGTTTATTTGATTATGGTTGAAATTTGAAACTGGAAAAACGTGAAGTATAACACTAGTCTCCCATCATGAAATCCAAATGTTAATTGACTAACCCAGTTTAAAGCACAATACAATTCCTGCTGGAACAGGAACCTATAAGTATATTGGTCTTTGAGTCGTATGGGACATATGAAAACATATTTTTTGTGAGTTATGAAAAAATGATGAGTGTAAAACATGAGCAAAGGGAGTGAAAGACAGGAGGAAAAGAGAGAGGGGATAGAATATGGAATGCTGTGGAGCTTTGGGTGAAGACGGTTAGTAAGGGAGGATGAGTCACACACTTCCCCTATCTCACCCCCCCCTCTCTCCTTCTTTCTCTTTCTCTCTCCTTCCCTCTCCCTCTCTCTCTCTGTCTCTCTCCCTGTCTCCTAACCTCAGTTAAGAGTTATTTGGAAATGTCATCACTATCAATGGTAACACAGAGATGGGTGTGGATCACAATCTCAGGAAGGAACCACAACATCTTATTGTGGTTCTGCTCTAGATCGCTTGTAAACTTTGACCTTTTGTCTGTGGCCCTGTGTGTGGAATACAGAGATATACTGTAAGTGAAGGAGGGAGAGTTAGACAGTACAGAGGCATAACACCAGCCCCATGGCTGACCCCTATGGCAGGACAATACACAGAGGCACACGGTTGGCCCAGAAATACAATACACTGGTGTAGTCTATACATTCTTAGAAAAAAAGGTGCTATCTAGAACTATAAAGGGTCCTTCAGCTGTCTCCATAGGAGAACCCTTTGAATAATCATTTTGGGTTCCATGTAGAACCCTTTCTATGGGGACAGCCGAATAACCCTTTTTTCTAAGAGTGTTTATACAGTGCATTTGGAAAGTATTCAGTCCACTTGACCTTTTCCACATTTTGTTACGTTACAGCCTTATTCTAAAATGGATTAAATGTATGTTTTTCCTCATCAATCTACACACAACACCCCATAATGACAAAGCGAAAACAGGTTAAAATTTATTTTTGCAATAAATAAATAAATACGAATCAGAAATATCTTATTTACATAAGTTTTCAGACCCTTTGCTATGAGACTCGAAATTGAGCTCAGGTGCATCCTGTTTCCATTGATCATCCTTGATATGTTTCTATAACTTGATTGGAGTCCACCTGTGGTAAATTCAATTGATTGGACATGATTTGGAAAGGCACACACCTGTCTGTCTATATAGGTCCCACAGTTGACAGTGCATGTCAGAGCATAAACCAAGCCATGATGTCGAAGGAATTGTCCATAGAGCTCTGAGACAGGATTGTGTCGAGGCACAGATCTGGGGAAGGGTACCAAAAAATGTCTGCAGCATTGAAGGTACCCAAGAACACAGTGGCCTCCATCATTGTTAAATGGAAGAAGTTTGGAACCACCAAGACTCTTCCTAGAGCTGGCCGCCAAACTGAGCAATCAGGGGAGAAGGGCCTGAGTCAGGGAGGTGACCAAGAACTCGATGGTCACTCTGACAGAGCTCCAGAGTTCCTCTGTGGAGATGGGAGAACCTTCCAGAAGGACAACCATCTCTGCAGCACTCCACCAATCAGGCCTTTATGGTAGAGTGGCCAGACGGAAGCCACTCCTCAGTAAAAGTCACATGACAGCCCGCTTGGAGTTTGCCAAAAGGCACCTAAAGGACTCTGACCATGACAAACAAGATTCTCTGGTCTGATGAAACCAAGATTGAACCCTTTGGCCTGAATGCCAAGCGTCATGTCTGGAGGAAACCTGGCACCATCCCTACGGCGAAGCATGGTGGTGGCAGCATCATGCTGTGGGGATGTTTTTCAGCGGCAGGGACTGGAAGACCAGTCAGGATCGAGGGAAAGATGAACGTAGTAAAGTACAGAGAGATCCTTAATGAAAACTTGCTCCAGAGCACTCAGGATCTCAGACTGGGGCAAAGGTTCACCTTCCAACAGGACAATGATCTTAAGCACACAGCCAAGACAACGCAGGACTGGCTTTGGGACAAGTCTCAATGTCCTTGAGTGGTCCAGCCAGAGCCCGGACTTGAACCCGATCGAACATCTCTGGAGAGACCTGAAAATAGCTGTGCAGCGACGCTCCCCATCCAACTTGACAGAGCTTGAGAGGATCTGCAGAGAAGAATGGGAGAAACTCCCCAAATATAGGTGTGCCAAGCTTGTAACGTCATACCCAATAAGACTCGAGGCTGTCATCGCTGCCAAAGGTGCTTCAACAAAGTACTGAGTAAAGTGTCTGAATACTTATGTAAATGTAATATTTCAGTTTTTTATTTTTAAAACATTTGCAAAAAAATCTAAAAACCTGTTTTTGCTTTGTCATTATGGGGTATTGTGTGTAGATTGATGAGGGGAAAAACATGTGAATCCATTTTAGAATAAGGCTGTAACGTAACAAAATGTGGAAAAAGTCAAGGGGTCTGAATACTTTACAAATGCACTGTAGGGTCCTCTGTCTTCAATGGCTTGTCACCTGACCAAAGTCCCAGAGGGAGACACAGGGACACGGGTGTCACACGTGTTCAATAGTGTTCTCATCCAAGACAATACAACACCCTTTCACAATCAAGCCATGTTCCCAATCCCTTTCCAGCAGCAAAACTACTATTTGCCTCCTATACCAAGGAAAACAAAGTGTAATGAGAACTGTAATAACAGTCTGGTTGTTTTCATGAACTGAGTAGTAATGAGCAGAATATTACATCCTGAGGACATCAATTCATCAGACATGTTTTAGAGAGAGAGAGAGAGAGACCCCGAGACCCTGAGGAGACTGCTAGGCCTGCGGGGAACAATGTCCAACACAAAATGTTTCCATGGAGGGACAAAAAGATGAACACGCACATCACTGAGAGGTGAAGAGAAAGACTGAGTCCTTTCTACACTATTGACAGGCAGTGGTTTCTATTTTCTTGTACCTTTTATCCCTTTTTCTCCCCCAATTGGTAGTTACAGTCTTGTCCCATCGCTGCAACTCCCGTACGGACTCGAGAGAGGCAAAGGTCGAGAGCCATGCGTCCTCAAAAACATGACACTGCCAAGCCGCACTGCTTCTTGACACACTGCTCACTTAACCCGGAAGCCAGCCGCACCAATGTGTCGGAGGAAACACCGTACAACTGGCGACACGAGTCAGCGTGCATGCACCCAGCCCGCCACAAGAGCGCGATGGGACAAGGCCATCCCAGCCGGCCAAACCCTCCCCTAACACGGACGACGCTGGGCCAATTGTGCGCCGCCTCTTGGGTCTGTAGTGACGCCTCTAGCACTGCGATGCAGTGCCTTAGACCTCTGCGCCACTCAGGAGGCCCTTTCTTTTTTCAATAGGGGTTTCATTCACTCAGATCAGTCTATCATGTGAGTGACACCCTTAACTTTCTCCTTTCATGAAGGATAAAGGTAATCAGTAAACATCATGATCACACAACCCTAGATAATGGAGAACAACCTGAAAATGTCCTTTTGATGCACTATAGCTCTAGCATAGTGGTCAGAGGATTTTCTGCCAACAACAGTTTTTTCCAGTTAGAACCCTTTTGGGTTCCACGTAGAACCCGTTTGTGTTCCATGTAGAACCCTTTCTACAGAGGGTCCTCTTATGGGGACAGCCGAAGAACCCTTTTACACGTCCCGTGTAGTTCAGTTGGTAGAGCATGGCGCTTGCAGGGTTGTGGGTTCAACTCCCACGGGGGACCAGTATATAAAAGGTATGGAAATGGATGCACTCACTACTGTAAGTCGCTCTGGATAGGAGCGTCTGCTAAAATGTAAATGTCCGTGGATTTTCTGCCAACTACACAGTTTTAAGTATGAAATACAATGCTTAGTTGAGTAAATCTTGTTAAAAATGTTTGTGTTTTTAACGTCACTGTAGTTTATCTGTGAACAAAGCTGATTATTGTGTCGTTCAAATCAAATCAAATTGTATCGGTCACATACACATATTTAGTAGATGTTATTGCGGGTGTAGCGAAATGCTTGTGTTCCTAGCTCCAACAGTGCACTAGTATCTAACAATTCACAACAATACACACAAATCTAAAAGTAAAAGAATGGAATAAAGAAATATATAAATATTAGGACTAGCAATGTCGGAGTGCCATTGACTAAAATAGAGTAGAATAGAATACAGTATAACAAAAAATGTATTTGTCCTCAGAGGGGGGGTTAATAAAAATATATAAAAAATACAGTATATACATATGAGATGAGTAAAGCAGTATGTAAACATTATTAAAATGTCTAGTGTTCCATTATTAAAGTGGCCAGTGATTCCATGTCTATGTATATAGGGCAGCAGCCTCTAAGGTGCAGGGTTGAGTAACCGGGTGGTAGCCGGCTAGTGATGGCTATTTAACAGTCTGATGGCCTTGAGATAGAAGCTGTTTTTCAGTCTCTCGGTCCCATCTTTGATGCACCTGTACTGACCTCGACTTCTGGATGATAGCTGGGTGAACAGGCCGTGGCTCGGGTGGTTGATGTCCTTGATGATCTTTTTGGCCTTCCTGTGACATCGGGTGCTGTAGGTGTCCTGGAGGACAGGCAGTGAATATTAATGTGTGTCTAACAAGTCTGGGATTTT